GCAATATGGTGAAACACAGCAAATTATTGATCTTTGTAAATTTAAGGAAACCTAAAGAAATGTTTTGTGCCTGAGTGGACACATCGCTTCATTCGTGAAGTGAAAAATGTAACAGAATGGGTTATGGATTGGGTTATGTCTCCATTAAAAGTCTCTAATATTATACTGCAACCCTATCATCATTGCACAGAGCAAAAATGTCATTATTAACTGAATTTTCCAAACAGTGTTTTCTAATCAGTCATTTTATTTATTTATATAAAGAACCCTTCGCAACAGTTTGCCACAGCGTGCTTTAAAGACTTCTATAGCTCTTCACAATACAGTGACTACAGTGGAGAAAAGAAATCTCTGGGGGTATTAAGCTCCTCCAAGCAATGGGTTTGTGGATAATTAATTAGAGTCCCCTGTGAGAGGTTCCTGCAAAGCCCAGGGCTGATATCGTGCCCTCCTAGGTCAGTTGTCCTGGTCACCCAGGGTAGCTGAGGTTTCTGACATCACAGGCCACCACAGCTTAATCTTATGTTTTAAAAATCTTCAAACTTCAACCCAATCGACTTCAGAACTCAAAGCACTTTACAGGTAATGGGGATCCCATCCATCAACACCAGTGTGCCGCCCCACCTGGATGATCTCCCAGTACGCTCCCCGCGCACCAGCTCTCAGTGGGGAGAACAGAGTCATGAAGCCAGTTCATACACTGTGAATATTAGGAGGCCATGACTGGTAAAGGCTTACACCTGATTAGCTTTAGTGGGCTGCCAGTTGTAACCCACTAAAGTGTTAGAGTTGCAGGCTGATTAAACTCTATCCTGTACTACAAAATAAAATCATAATCAGTTCATTAGATAATAAAGAAAGTATTAAAGTACAAGTACACTAGCAGAGAGGCTCTATCCAATAGAGGTCACTGTGACAAAACTGCTTTACACTCACTGCTTGCATGCCTGATGGCCTGCAACAAAGCTAACGATGGAACGTCTTGCCACAGTCGTTGTCTGAGACAGATTTCCCAGCCCTGTGGCTGTAGCAAGCTGACAGAGAACCAGAGAACACAGGAAACAGCTGGATCAAATCCTCAAATCATAAGCCACCAGCAACCAAATGAACACAAAGACCTCCTTTCTTAGTAGAGCTTCTGCAAGGTTTGGAACAATGAGATGTTTTAAGTACAGTAGCAATTCAAGGAAAGAAGAACATCTGCTGGAATAAGAACTATGCAATAAATAGACCCCACATGCCGTTCTACAGTGCACACAGTACTTTTTGACAGACGTATTGACAGAATAAAACATTCCAAAAATATGTCTATATACTTTTATTATATTTCAAATCTTGCAAATAGTTTTAAGTACACTTTTAAACAATAGAATAATACTTTTAGGTTAATTTCTTTTGATGTTTGACCTGCCCATGATGTTCCTTTTAGTATTTTTCTCTGGCTTCAGCAATATAATGTAACATTTCGGAGCAAAGATGCACAGTAGCACTGCAAAACTGGAGGAGAGGATGGCAAAGATTTCAACTGCAACCGTATACTTCCCCGGAGAGCTGACATAAGCAGGTATAAATGCGATCCACACTGCACAGAATATCAACATACTGAAAGTTATATATTTTGCCTCGTTAAAGCTGTCCGGCAGCTTTCTCGCTAGGAAGGCAAAAATGAAACACATTACAGCCAAGACGCCAATATACCCTAAAACACAACAGAACGCCGTGACAGATCCTAAATTGCATTCCAGAATAATCTTATCGTTAAAAAGGCTTGCGTTTTTCTGTGGAAACGGGGGAGAAATGCCAAGCCAAAGAGCACAAATCATTATCTGAATGGATGCAAAGAGCAGGATGGTGAACCTTTGCTGCACTGGGCCAAACCACTTCATGGTGTTGCTGCCAGGAAGGGTTGATCTAAACGCCATCAAGACGACGAATGTTTTACCCAGAACACAGGCGACGCACAGAACAAATATGATGCCAAAGGCAGCGTGCTTCACCATGCAGGACCATGGGGAAGGCTCTCCCACAAACAGCAGGGGACAGAGGAAGCAGAACACTAATGCCACCAGGAGGAGGAAGCTGATTTCAGAGTTATTAGCCCGGACAACTGGCGTGCTTCTGAAACGAAAGAAAACCGCTGTGACAAATAATGTCAGACACGCTCCAAAAATCCCCAAGGCAGTCAGTGCGCTCCCCATGATCTCTCCGAAAGAAAGAAACTCCATTTGTTTTGGAAAACAAGCAGTCTTCTCGGAATTTGGCCAGTAGTCCCACGGGCATTTTATGCAATCAATGGAATCTATTGGAAAACACCAAAAACAAATCATTTGTTTAAACTGAGGTTGCTTACAAATCCGTGACAATAATTGGCGTTCTGTGACAACAAATAATTCTCAACCCAGTCTTTCCTCATTCGCTTAAAATGTTCATTAGCACGTTTAACTCGCATCCCTACCGGTCTGGTTGCTGATTTCACCTTGGGCACAAGGTATGCAGTCAAAGCAGCAGATAGGCTGTCCTTCTCGAGACGCTTTTCTCGACCCTGGGGGGCAACTTTCACTGCAAACAGACTTTATAACCTGGAAAAATACAGCATAGCAACGGAAGCTGTATGGTTGTTCTGCCATTGTTATTTCACATTATTTTTGACGTATTAGGAAGAGGTTACTGCCAGTTTTGGGATAGTGTGCCATTAGGCTTGTGTGATGAGGTCTGGATTTCACTGTAACTGGCTCAGCTCGGCTCGGCTCAGCTCAGCTCAGGCAGCTCTGCTGCATTTGCAGGTGCGTAAGCCAACCCACTTTAAAAAAGCCATTTCCTGGACTGTCACAAGTATCCCTCGTGTCAATTAAACTAGTTTCTCCTAAACCACTTACAAGCTATATTTACTGGATCAGCTACAGTGGTGGCTTCCAAGATTACTGCTACACCTGCAAGCACTTACACTCACACATGCTGACAGGTAGATTTCAAGAGCTGAGCATGTTGAATATTTCTAGTGTTGTTGCTGCAGCTGGAAATTCATTTTCCAACTGCAGCAACTTTCTTTTTTTCCTTCTTCCAAGTTTCATTCTTTCAAGAGACTTGTTTAAATGTTGTTTTATTATAACAAAGAAACACTATAATGGTCTGGCAACTGCTTTTCAAGAGTCTTAAGAGTGCATTTAAGACTTCTGATATGACTGGAGCATCAGTCTTACTTTTTTCTGGCCTCCATTCCAGATGATAGCGTCTTTGTTTATCACAAGTTCTTGTCCTTCTGGGGCAGAGCCATCATAGTAACCTATATCTACATACTGCACCCTGCCATGCTGGTCCAGCTGCCAGTTGATTATATCATAGGAGGGAAGAGGATCCCCATTTTGATCAAACTGGACCTCCTCTCCAGTGGGCGTTTTGAATTTGACCTGTTTTAAGGTCTGTGTTACCTGTAGGAGAAAAACATGCAGAGCTACTTTGATGATACAATTCAGAACATTTCAACTCAAACATTTAACACAGAAAGCCTCTTACTTCTTACATTTACTGGACTTAAATTTCGAGACCATGCAATTAAGAAAAGAAAGTTAATGATCAGTGGATTCCTGAATCTCGGTTTCTTCGTTGACTGTAATTAAAAGCATATTTCTGTCTACTTTCATACTTTGACTGTTTAACAGACTAAAAGCAAAGATACGTTTTAAGATACATACCTCCCAAGGATTGATATCCCGTATGCCAGAGCAGGTCTGGTTGTGCAATCCAGTTTCACAAAACATCATGTTATGAAGCGCGTGAGCAACAGCATAGACTCCTTTATAGGTGTTGTATGTGACACGTAGCTGGGTGACATCTGTGTAAATATTTTCAACTGATCGTAAATCTTCTAAGCCAGTGCATTTCCTGACTGGGAACTGAGAATCTGAATTTTCTGTCACATTGGGAGTTTCATATAAACAATCGAAGGTTGTTTCCCAGAATTCCTTGACGTACACATTTCCAGGTTGCTGCGAGGGGTGAATCCTCACAAGGAACTCTTTAAAGCCCTCAAGATTAGCTCTTTGGATTCCCAATCCCAACAAACCTCCGAGGACCCCGAACTTCTCCTTAGTGGAGAGTAGACCTGCCGTAGACCAGCTTTCGCTGGCCAGCCAGACGATTCCAGTGACATTTTGTTCAACCAGCTCGTTAACCAGCATGTACATGTCTATTTCTGTAGCAAACACCAGGATGACCTTTACCTGCGTCTCTTTAATAAGATCTACGTGTCTCAATATTTTTTCCTTGGTGTAAACAGCAGGAAAATATTCAGCAAAAGCCACGCAGGAGTTGATATCTTCCACTTCCTTCAGGAAGGACTGAATTCCATACTGGCCATAGGCATCATCGGATCCAAAAGCCCCCAGCCAAGTCCATCCAAAGTGCTTCACGACTTTAACCCAAGCTTTCACCTGGAAATAATCACTGGGAATTGTTCGGAAAAACGTGGGGTATTCGTGCTTGTTGCTTAGACATGCACAGGAGGAGAAATAACTTATCTGTGAAGTGCGCATAAGAAAAGGAGTTTTGTACATTTTTGGTTAGAATGGGGCATTTGTAGTTATTAATATTTATCGTAGTTAAGAATATAAGACATAACCAAATAACTGTATAAAATATTTCAGAGTCAACATCAGCAAAGCAATTCATAGGGGCATCGAGTTTTGTTATCATTACATTTGCTCACATGAGGTCAGAAATGATCTATAAATCTTTACTCTTGAAGAATATTTGGAATTGAAATGAAAGACGGGGATAGGTCAAGATGGCAAATTGCGTGGAATGAAAGGTTTTCAAAGCAATTCATAAGTTTTTTCACTAGTCAAACGACTACAGAATGTCATACTGACGGACCCTGAACAATACATACAAGCAAAATCAAATGACCTTTTACAAACAGCGTCAAATAGCTTTAGGTGTTTCAGTTTTCTAGAGGCTTTCCAGCGCTATTTTTCACTTATCCCATCATAGACGGATAGAAAAAGGCAGATTAGCTGAGGGATTGAATTGCATTGCACCCATGATAACGAAAAGGAAAACTTGTTTCCCACTGTACACGGAACATGCAACGTTATTTAAATATTGTTTTTTACAATGATGTTTCTATTAAAAAAAAAAAGATACGAGGAAGGAGAAGTAGCTGTTCTTTTTTTAAATATACTGTATGATCAAGGACTCAATTCAAAGTCAAAAGTGTATTTCCTATCCACCCATTTGTCTTTTTTCTACGGGCTCGTACGTGTCAGCCTGTATCGGCCGCAGCTGTAGTCGAGTCTCCTGATTCAGCGGCTTCTCACCTGAGGAATCCCAAACGAGCCCAGGAGCCGCGCTATGGTAATAGACTGTGTAGACCCCGAGCAGCCGATGACTGCGGCCACCGGAGAGCCTCCGGCGCACCTCCAGTCGGAAATGAACGGGTCGCGGCCGTTGAGGGCGGTGAGCGCCGCTCTCAGGGCTCCGGGGGGGTTGCTGCACGAGTCCAGGATCCTGTAGCCCAGCGTCACGTTGGGCAGCAGGGTGCTGTCCCGATTGATCTCTTCGATCGCGAAAAGCATGCCTTGTGCCCAGCGAAAAGCCCTCAGAAAGAAACTTCGGGGGCGGGGGAATGCATAAAAAAAAAGAAAAAAAAAGATACATAAAATGAAATGACCGTTTAAGACAAAAACAGCTCAATTGTTTTAGAGAATCGGGGCACTCCGGTGGAAACCTTCAGGTTATTTTAGTGAGGGTTTTCACACACAAAACCATCTCGCACGACTGGATAACAGCTGTGTTTTGGTAACGAGAATGGCCTTTTACAAACACTTCTATCACATATCTGACATAATGCTTCATAAAACTAGAAAAAACAGCACGCAGGCAGAAATTAACACGGGTTTGGAAGACATACTGCACTGTTTACTAATCTTAAGGTCTGTGTTTATATACAGATATACTCTAATTTTTAAGTGTTATTATATTTGACTTAAAAAAATCAAGATACTTTAATGTACTGTCCAGTTTTTGAGAGTTAGCGAAAACACTGCTTATTAAGAGATCTGTATTCGTAGCGATTAATACATTTCCTGAATATTTTCTGATTCGTGCCAATGCCATGTGATGTAGATCTTTAAAACCTACCTCACGCATCCAGGGGTTTTAGGAACTCTGTCGTAAGAGAGTACAGGAACTGCGCCTTTGTAGTGAAGAGTAAAAACACCCCCGATTATAATATCCCCATCCTGTGACAACGCCGGAGAAGTAAAAAGCCCTTGAAGCTTGCAGGCGGATTCAGACAAACTGATCTGCATGAAACAGATGGATAGCAGCCCAAACCTTACACCCATTGTGTGCGTGAAAATGGACAATCCTAGCACCGAACTCGGGTTCCATTTTTATAGCCGACACGTTCATTCCTCTGGCACATCTGGAATGGTCACATGACACGCTACAAAGGTAACTGTAACGCATTGTAATGGCAACAGCTGCCCTGTGGTTCAGGAATAATTTATACAGTAGCTCATTCTCAACGCTGGTAATAACCTGCGCGATGTTTGGGTTTGTCGCTAAAGGAATTTATTTATGTAAATATTACATTTACTGTTACACTTAAGTGTACAAATATGTATTCAGTTGACCTATTCGGTTTATATATTCGGTTAAGAACTGAAACATAACCAGGGAATTAAAAAAAAAACCTGTCCGCAAGAGGGCGCCTGACACCAGAAAACTGGAGCTGGGGCTAACGTTGTTCGCTGCTCAATAAAAGAGTAACATCAGGCCGCTTCGCACCGCTTTAAGGCAGATCAAGATTTTTAA